TGCATCACCATGTGGTTGGTTTTTGGGTTTTGATTCCCCGTCGTAAGAATTCGTTTAATACTTGTGGAGCAAGTTAAATTGATATTTCAAAATGAGAAGTAATTAATTTAAGTGAATAAATCAATTAGAGATATTGTTGGGCTTCCGTGGGTCAATTATGAAGTTGATTTTAATAATCCAAACCGTTTATATTGAAAGATTTGTCGAGAAAATCATTCTTGTAAAAAAATAGATTAATCGAAATACTATAGGTAAGTTATTAGATGACATTTGTTTTCAAAATAATAAATGGTATACAATCAAAATTATAATTGCCGTTCAAAAATTTTTTTTTTATGACAAATGTGATCTAAGCATGTTGTTTCGATTGTCCAAACAATCTAAAATTTTTACAAGAATGATCTTCTCGATAAATCTTTCAACATAAAAAGTTTGGATCATTGAGGTATGTCCCATGATGGCTCTACAGAGGCCCAACAACACATCTAGTTGGTTTCCCAATTGAAGGAATGTCAATCCCTTGATTTAAATATGCCTTAACAAGTACATGTTAACAAAATCTTATACTTTAAATTTTGTTAATGCGTACCTTTAAAACACAAGTTAAATTGATAGAAAATATTATACATCATCATGAAAATGATTGCTTAAAAAAATGTATAATGCCTTTTAAGTTTTTTTAACATATATTCCAAAGGAAATACGTTGACAAGATTCTTCCTCCATTCTATCCCTCATATTTCAATGAGTAATGATATATCAAAAAAAAAAAAAAAAAAAGGAAAAGATTATACAGAATGAGGTGGCATAAATGTGACTACTTATTTCAAATCAAAATAATCATTAAAGTGGCTTGTAATTTTTAAAATACCACTACCAAATTATTTTTACTTGACTTTTTGTATAAATTTTTGTTCACAAATCATTTTCCAATTTCAATACGATAAAGTATCTCTCCTTTGTTTTGAGATTGTGAGTTTTTTTATTTTCATTATTTTTCTGTTTAGAGTTTGTTTTTTTTTTGTTTTTTTGTATTTTTATATCTTTAGTAAACTTTTTAATAAATTTAATATATATATATATATATATTTAAATTTTTAGATACACCTAACCTAAATGCATTTAAATATAAAGAAAAACAAAAAATTCAGTACATTTTTATATTTATTGAATCTTTTTTAGTCTATTTTTGTATTTATTGAATCTTTTTTAGATTTCTCTACAAATATTTTACTTTTTTAAATGTATCTAGGTTAATTGTATCTAAAAAATAAAGAAAATTTGACTAAGATATAAAAAATTCACTAAAAAGATAAATATATAAAAAAATTAAAAATTAAGAAATTACATTTAAAAACTCAAAACCAAACAGTGTGTATATTTTTACACAAATGGTATTCCAAAAATATATTCAGAATAATAAATGGCTATCATTTTTAAAATTAAGAGTCATCCTTAAAAATATTTTGCTCTTGATGTTTCTGCTATCTATTTTACTATCTATGGAAAAAAAAAATAATAACATGGTGCAGTTGGAAATATTAAAAGAGTGATGACATACAAATAAAAAAAATGTATTAAATACATTAATTATTAAGTTTCAAAGTATGTGTTTTATGTTATTTCAATTTATGACATTTTAATTGTATTAATTTGATTACAACATCTTCAATTTGTAATTAAATGGTCTTTGTTGTTGCTTCTAGCCAAATTTTATGATGAAAGCAACCATATTTTTGTCCAAATTTGAACAAAATTTAGATGGAAACAACGTTTATGACCATTTAAAAATAAATTGTATAAGTTTTAGATTAAATTGATATAATTGAAAGATCATAAATTAAAATAAAATAGAAGATGATTGACAATAACTTGTTTTGGCAAGTGGGTAAAAAGTCACTTTTTGACTTTTAACTTATTTTGAGTCATATCATTTTTTTATTTTTTTACATATTTTTTTAAAAAAAAATCAAAAAAAGTTAAAAAATTAACTTTTAACTCACTTCTTAAAACAACCCAATGTATTTAATCCCAAAAAAATTATAGAGAAAATCTATCCAGAATGATGGGTACATCAGGTTCAAATCATTTCAGGCCAAATGACTTCTCAAAATGACATTTCTAAAAAAGGTTAATACATGGTTGGTTCTCAAAAAATGTGTTATGTGGTAGTTAGGTCTTCCTTTATTTCAATTTTGTCAATTTAATTTCAACTTATCAGCATTTTTCATCCAATTTTTCCAGTAGGAGTATTTTTGTCTAAATTTGAATAAAAATCAAAACGGCACTAGGATTATTTTATTACAAATTAAATACAACTAAAATATGGAGAATTAAAATAAAAACAGATCACATACTTTGAGGATAATAGTGTATTTGTTTTAAATAATATTGTCAAATCATTCAAGTCGATCAATACACAAATGTTCTCCAAAAATATGTGTTCTGTATCATTTTGGTTCCCAATGTTTCAAATATGTCAATTTGATCCCTAATTTATTATTTTTGTCACTAATTAGTCTCTATCTTCGTTCCATCTATAATTGATAACAGGAATAAGGGCATTTTTGTCAAATTACATTTACACATTAACAAAATGAGAGAAAAAAGATTCTCCAAAGTATGTGATTTGATTCATTTTGATCCCCAATATGTCAATTGTCTCAATTTAGTCTCCAGTTGAATCAATCCCCCTGATTTCGTTATTAACTGTAGATCGAAATTGAGTTAGGTATTATTTAGTATCAAAATTAATAAATTAGGGGATCAAATTGATATATTTAAAACATCAGAAATCAAAATAACACAAAGCGGATGTAATTTAGAAACCATTTATGTAATTAACCTTTTTGTACATTCGGCATAAAGAAAGGCTCTCAATTTGGCATTGTGGACTCGAAAATGGTAAGTAGATTTGTGACAAAAACACATCCGATTGAATCCAAAGAAAGAATATAGTGTTAGGCCACAGGAAGAGCAATAACATGATACCCAAAACTATATCTATAGAGTGAGTGATAGGGACTCTCACATGTTCAAAGTGGACAAAAAACGAAGAAATCTTTATACCATTTTAAGCTGGAAGCGACTGATAACTTTCAATTTCAATCACAATATCTCCAAACCAATCTATTGTTCCAGACACATATTCAAGCACTGGTCACTTTGCCCATAAATTCCCTATCCAGAAATTATTGCATAGGTAAGAGACAAAAGCCTTCACATTCAGTCCACATTGGAGTACTCAATAATGCATATATCCCATATATATATATATATATATTACTTTGTATAACTTTCTTGCTAGCTATCTCAAAATAAATAAATATTGAGTGTAAGGTTAATTCTATCTTATGTGGTATCACTTGATCAAAAGGAATGAAGTGAGATTGTCTTTGTTTTTCAATATTATTTAAAGCTATTCATTAGTCAGTGATATTATGTGACAATTATTCATTAGTTGATGATACTATGTGACAATATTTTGTGATATTATCATTACACTTAATTTTTATTCGAGAGAGAAACAATTCTGCCAGCTATCTCTTTTTTAATTTTTTTTTTAAAGACAATTTATATCTAGGGAGTTTTTGTTTGTTTGGAAAAGGATATGGTTTCTCTTTAGTTAGGGAAAAGTATAGTCCAATTCAATTGAGTCAAAGAAGCCTATATTGTTTTCTTTAACTTACTTCCTAGCTATCTCAAAAAAGAAAGGAATAAGCATTGGGTGCAATAGTAACCCTAACTTATGTGGTGTCATTCATCAAAAGAGTGGAGTGAGGTTGACTTTATTCTTATTTAACCAACCAAGGGATTCTCATTTGACTTTTAAAGTTATTTATTAATGGTGATATTATATGACAATGTCATATGATATCGAGAGAAATAATTACACTCCGCTATCATTTTATTATTATTTTTAGACAATTAATTAAAAGAATAGAGTAGGATTGGCTTTGTTCCTATATAACCAACCAAGTGGTCCTTATTTGACCTTACTTAATTTTATTCATTAATGATGATACAATGTGAAATGATCATCACATCTAATATTTAGGTCAAGTTTGGCATACTTCAAATAATTTATTTTTTTATCTTTTTATCTTTTTTTCATCACATCACCTCTCTACTTTTCTGTACATCTTTTCATAAAAAGACAAAAAGTACACTTATTTAGGTCATCCCAAACAACCCCTTACTCTAAAGAGAGAAATCACTACACTACACTCCACTATAATTTTATTATTATTTTTAGACAATTGATAGTTAGTGGAGTTTTTGCTTATTTACTTATTTGGAAACAACAGCACTATAAATTTAGACTTATAAACTCAGAATTTATCTAGAAAAAAGAATAATGGTTTAAATTCATTTTATTCATGAATCTCACATTTTATTAATTTAATCTCCACCACACAAATACATTCGGGATAAATTATGAGTTGATTTAAAAAAATGATATGGCTTCTATTGAGTTAGAGAGAAGTCAAGTCTAGTCCAATTGAGTTAAGTGCAGCCATACTAGTGATTTGAGTAATTTATCTTGGAGGCCCTTATATGTGGATCATCTATGAGAATATTATATTGATTTGATAATTATAGTTATATGATTTTTCATTATATTTATCTTAAAAAAATCAACAACGAATATAATTTTAAAATAGACTATTCATTTTTTTAAAGATAAATCTAATAAAATTATGTGATACAACTATTGAATTAATCAAGTCCTTTTTTTATGAAGGGTCTTACTAACAAGAGCCCTTAGGACACAAGAAAATGACAAAAGATATGTCAATCTCGAGACGTTATTAAATTGAATACATTTTTTATGAATTTTAAAATACATTATAATTTTTTTACACTTTTACAATACACTTTTTCTCGCATTCCCAATATTAATAAGGACACTTGTTAGCATTTACCTTTACGTTTTATGAATAATCTACACGTAAATACTTACAAATGAACTATTCGAATCACTAAAATAAGATCTGAAATGAGACAAACAGGCCCAACTGGATCAAATTAAACTTCTCTCTCGATGAATGTCAATGTGTTGGCAACAAACTAAAGAGCAAAGTGTCGAGAATAACAAATAGCAATAACACTGTTGTGTTTGGGCCTTTTAGCCCGCATGGCTTCACAGAGAGAGAGAGAGAGAGAGAGAGAGAGAGAGGAACATCAAGTGAATACGATGTGAGTCATACAATATTAAAGCCAGGTCGCATATATACAATGAAATAACACTAGGTTCATTCATATAACTGAGAATGAGAGTGATAATCAATCACGGATTTATTTTTAACACACTCATATAATAAATAAGTGTGAAATGAAAAACCATAGAAAGAGGACACCAACAATGACTTCTTCCAACCCCAACCCTCTCTTCCCAATGTAATGACCATCACTGCTGCTGGCACTTGTGGCATTGGCTTTAATGTTTCCCCCCCACACAGACAAATATAAAACACATTTGAGAGTTTTGCAAGCAAAACTTATTTAATATCACTATCACAAAATCATCTCAACTATGATCTAATTAATAATTCCATTCCACCAAATCAAAAGACAAAAATATGAGGAAATTTCAAATAAATGGAACCAATTTAGTTTTCAGAATTAAAAAAAAAAAATTCGGTGAATTTTTTTTTTATTATTTTCATATGGAGGAAATAATTTTTGAAAATCCAAAAATATATTTTTTGATATTTATTTTTGTCAAACTTAGTTTTAAGTAATTTTTTTTATAATTTTTTTCTTTTGAAAACTCAACCAAAAAGATCCAAAGAGACACAAGTGGATTTGTAAACTAGTATAAGTAAAAACTGTGTTGCCGTTCAAAAAAAGAAAGAAAGTATAAACCGTGTTCTTACTTGCACAAAAATATAAAACCCATTTATATGTTCATATTTTATATCGTGTTTGTTTTCCAAAAAATGGATAGAAAATATATTTTAAACATAAACTATCCATTTTTTTCGGAGATAAACACAAAAAAATAAAAATGTTATGATTATCAAATCTTTTTTTTTTTTTTTTTATGAATGATAAAGTCGTATTTAAGTAAAAATTATACAAAACGGTAGTCACTTACATGTTTAGATTTAATTTTTTAAGGTATTTTATGGCTTGTCAATTTTTTTTTGAAGTTAAGATTTAAAAATTGAGAGAAATCACACTTATTTTTATTTGTTCCCAAAATATTGATGGGATTGTAAGCAAAACTTATTTAAAATCACTATCACAGAGTCATCCTAATTAATTAAAACTTATTTAAAATCAATAATATATAAGCAAAACTTATTGATGGGATTGTAAGCAAAACTTATTTAAAATCACTAATATTTAATACTTCCACCGAATGAAAAGATAAAGAAATATTAGGTCAAAAGATGTTTTAATTACCAAATACTAAAATTGAAAGGAAAATAGAAAGTCAAAAGTTATTGTAATTACCACCAGAAATACTTTAAAGAAGAAGTAAATCAAAAGTAGTGATTGATTACCAGTGGCAACAGCAGGAGTGGTGGTGGGACTAGTAGTAGCATTGGAGGAGGAATGACCATATTGATAGAAAATCTGTGCATCAGTTGAATTTGGAGCCAAGTGGAGAAGAGCTGCATCCATCACATTACAATTTACAACCATCAACATCAACATGAGTCTCTCCCATCAAAAAAAAAAAAAATCAATATTGAGTCTGCAAGATGTCATTATAAACTTCATGAAAAACCCAAAAATAAAAGACTAGTACATTAAAATTTTAGCAATAACAATACAGACACATAAATTTTTTTAAAAAATGCAGTTCCCTAGATTATGTGCATTATTTTTTTAATGAAAAATTTGTTTAGAGAATTATTGAAGTTTTGGCAATTTTGTCAGTAATATAAGTAAATGCATATGTTCAAGTCTTATTAAGAGTCGTGAGGACTTGTAATTTAATGGCACTTCCCCAACACTCTTGTATGAACGGTTGAGGGTTTAAATTTTGCCAGCAGTGTAGTGAGGAGGAAGAGTCAATGAGAAAAATATAGCTACAAAATTACATCTATTGTGAATATGTGATTAAATTGTATATATCTTAATCTTATGAAAATATAGTTACTAATTTCACAGTTGGCCTGTTTCTCAATAGTTTTTTTTTCTTTCAGTTTTAATCTTGTTGTTTTATTAAAATGCATATATGGGCTTAATTTGGACCTTTAGGATGGGCCTATGGTCAAGCTTCTAAATGCTCATTGGGCCAGACATAAGGTCAATCCAGGGGCCCTACACTTCGGCCCAATGCCATGGGCTCTGAATTTTTTGATGAGGCTTACACAATGGTAGATATAATCGTATAAATATATAAAATTATTAAATATGCATATAAATTATTAGTAATTAGACAATATTAAAACTTTTAGATCATATTCATTATGTATATCATGTACACAAATAATAAAATACAAAAACTCTCATTTCTCTTTCTTACTCAGAAATGGCAAAGATCACTATAGTAGTGTGGTGGTTACTCAATAATCTTTCTCATATCTCTATTTCTCTCCTTAGATAAACTATTATGCTCATCCAAAAAAAAAAAAAAAAAAACACAGAAGATAAACTACTGTGTTTTTAATGATTAAAAAAAATTAAATATGTGGGCATAACAACCCTTAAAAAAAATTTAAATGCTAATGACCTCGATGAATAGTCATTAGTCTTGATGCACATGTAAAAAAATGTATAATCTTTTTTAAAAATATTTTTAGTAATATGAGAAAAGTTTATTGAGAAGGTAACTACTTTGATAAATTTTCTACTTTAACAATAATTTATTAAACTGTCATTAGCATGAACTAAAAAAAATAAATAAATAAAAAAGTCACGCAAGCTAATGAACCAAGATTAAGGAAAGCAAGTTTACATTGAGTCTTGCATAGTTATGGAAGTCTTAAGTTTTAACAATACTACAAACTTAAAAAAATTAATTAGAAAATATTCAAAAAAGTACATTTATATAGATCAAAACAATTCACCAACTTTAAATTTACATCACACATCTCACTTTCATAATAACATTCGAGATAACAATTCATGGTAAATGGTATTTTTCTTTTGACATTCTATATAGTTATAGAGTAGACAATATGCATACCAGGGCACTGAGAAATATTGGCAGGGGAATTGCAAACAGTAGGAAGGCCTAAAGCAAGTGTGGCATTGATGTTAAGCCCTAGTTCTGGATTATTTCTGTCCTTTACAATCACACAGAGGCACTTTGGGCTTGTCTTGAGGGCTTGTTTGAGACCACTGCAACAGTCTGGTGTCGGAGCTTTGGAGTTTCCTCCAACATAAGGCAGACAGGTTGCAAGTCCAGCCAACTGCTGTGTACACTCCTCTCTGTCCTTAGCATCATCTGAGTTTGCACATGAAAACATCATTAATGCTAATAACATCAATGGAATTCCCATTCTGATCATGTAGTGGATATCCATTGTGAATCTGTGATGTTGTAAAGATAGAGAAGGTAGTGTATACTTGAGGGGCTTTGTGGGTGGGGTTTATGTCCAATCACTTTCTTGGCTATTTATATGAACAAAGTAATATTTCAAAATAGAAGGGGTTAATTATTCAATGTGTTTCTGACTAATGATATGGTTAAAATTTTTATAAAGTGAGACAATATTGATTCATCTTTGTTAAGTAAGAAGCAGCTCAAGGTTCTTTGAGATCTTAGGCTAATCAATAAAACGAGACTTTATTTTAATTAGTGTTGGAAAAAATGAGGCCTTTGATAATAAGATTTTTTAAATTTTTTTGGGGAGCTTTAGACAATTGGCAAGGTAGCTTAAGAATCGAACCACTGGTGTGGTTGAGAGACAATAGATGACTTACTTAATGTGTTTTAAAATTTCTCATATGTCAAGAATACTACGTAAGTAATGGCACATGGTATTTCAGAATTATCTGTAATAATCTTAAAAAAGAAGAGGATTGTTACACGTTACTGGTTTTTTTTTTTTTTTTTTTGCACCATTTATTAAAATATGTGATAAGATGTTATTTATTTTCATTATATTTTTATAAATATTCACATACACTGTGATACGAAACAATAATAAAAAACAAATGATATATTATGTTCCTCCAAAAATAAAAAATAAAAAATAAATATTAAAGTGTACCAAGAAATGCAACTCATATTTCATTTAAAAATAGATTTGGAGCACATATCAATTTTTTTTTAAGTACATTTTTTTGTTTTGTTTTATTTTGTTTTTGTTTTTCCTATTCACATGGTTTGACTTAAAAGAAGGGGGTGGGGGTGAACCATATGATGGCACATTTGCTTAGAAACTTAGATGGTGGACCCTATACTTGAGTGGGCAAACACATATATTCAATTCAGTGACAAATGTTAAGATGTGATTGGGTTTTCTTAAATCTCAAGGTGATTGATCATGTTCTAACAAATACAAGAGTCTATTCTATTCTACTGTATATGGGGTTTGTGAATGTAGCGGGATTAAGTGGATCAAAAAGGTGTCACTTCACCTACCCACTGAAGGGTGTGGAAGCAAACACAAAATGAGATATGTGTAGATAGATGCTTCGCATTAATGTGCTTATGTACACGTGTCATCTGGACATGACATCATTTGGCATCACGATGACATCATCACAAACTTCTTCATTGATTGTATGTATTGAGTGCATGAATTGAATCCATTCACATGTTTTTGAAAGAAGAGATATGAACAAGTTCTTTCATTAGATAACTTCCATTAAAATTTATCTTAAAACAAGGAATAATTACACTTTCTGTGGCTTCATGCGTTTTTACATACCCCTTGACGCTGGTAAATATAATCATAAACATCTTCTGATTTTGATTAAAGTACAAAAGTACCGGAATCCGATAGACTTAATAGCATGTGTGGAACACGCGCCAGAGAAACGTGTCTACGCTGACTTTAAGTGTTTTGGCGCCAAAATGGAAGGGTTAAATGGCCAATTTGCCCCCAATTTGTCCATCCACTTGCCTATATAAACACGAAGCAAATAAACCCACTTTTCTTGTAAAAAAAAATTCAAAACCTACTTTTTCCAGCCCAAAAATTTCTAGGACCACTTCCATTTTTGAAGATGTCATCCTCCTAAGGTTCCCATTATAGTGGACAAAGTTTAGCTCGTACATGCTACTGTGGCCACAAATCTCCAGTGAGAACAACTTGGACAAATGCAAATATGGGAAGAAGATTTATAGGATGTGCAAATTATGAGGTAATCACTTTCAATATTTAATAATTAAGTAATTAATTTTTTTTATTTGTTATGTTAATATAACATTGAAATAAAAATCTAAATTTATTTATTAAAATTTTCAAATTCATGCCACTTGCGAATATTTTGATTGGATTGACCCACCATTGTGCCGCCGTTCGCGTGATCTACTACCAAGACTTGTGCAACGATGAAATCATATGAAGTTAGAAGTGGAAAAAGCTCAAAAAAAGAAAAAAAAAAGAAAAAGAAAAGTTCTATCGAAGAATGTTGCTAGGAAGTTGGATACTATTTTTATGCTATATTGTATGTACTTTAAAATGAAAGCCCAAAAAAAAAAAAAAAAGTGTTATGTAACCTGATGTAATGAAGGAAGATATGTAATATTGAAGACTATTTTTGCTATAAATGAAATACATTTTTGAAGCATTACAAAACCTATTCAATTCCAACACTTGAAGCAGCTTCATTAAGTATCAATATATCAACATTGTACTCACAAAACCTGCTCCCTAAGACCAACATTTCAACTATTGAATTACAAAACCTATTTTAATGTCAACAACATTCCTACATTTCAATTACAAAAACTTGTGCATTGCCAAAAAACAAGCCTTACAACATTCCAACATTTAAGATAACATTCCAAAAAAAAGACAAAAAACTTCCAACATTCCAACATTTCAACAAAAGATAACATTCCAACATTACAAAAAACTTCTTCTGTTTGAATCATAAGATAGGCCACCTAAACCTAATCCCTTAAACCCTTTGCCCTGTCCTTTGCATTCATTCTAGGCATTGTTGGTTGTGATTGAGTATTGGCAGTTGGTTGGGATGAAGATGGGTGAGTACTGGCAGCTTGTTGGGATAAAACATGATGTGTGGCAACTGGTTGGGATAAAGATGTGTGTGTTGCAGCTTGTTAAGATGAAGCATTTGAGAACTGCAATAAGAATTCAATTCAAATTGAAATGCATAAAATGAAATTACTGAAAGTGAAATGAATTTAGTTTGTATACAATTGAAATTACTCCCTTTTTGTCCCAGCCTTTACAGTTTTCCACATCAATTCCTTCAATTTTTTTCCCTCGAACTTCTATTTGAAGTTAGTGTAGAAGTGCCTCAAGCAATACCTATGCTTAACATTAGGCAAAATCTGTGTAAAGGTGTGCACCAATCCTTTTTGTCTGTCTGAAATGAATGTCCAACCAATGTCACTGCCAGATCCTATGTCCTCTACTAATTGGGTCAGAAATCATACCCATGAATCCTTGCATTCAGCCTCCACTATAGCAATGGCAATGAGAAACATGTTGTCATTCCCATCAAGACCAATGGCTGCTAAAAGTAGGCCCCCATATATGCCTTTCAAAAAACAACCATCTAACTGTAGACGTCCCCGAATATGCTTAACATTAGGCAAAATCTGTGTAAAGGTGTGCACCAATCCTTTTTGTCTGTCTGAAATGAATGTCCAACCAATGTCACTGCCAGATCCTATGTCCTCTACTAATTGGGTCAGAAACCATACCCATGAATCCTTGCATTCAGCCTCCACTACAGCAATGGCAATGAGAAACATGTTGTCATTTCCATCAAGACCAATGGCTGCTAAAAGTAGGCCCATATATGCCTTTCAAAAAACAACCATCTAACCCAACAATAGGTCTGCAACCTTGTACAAAACCTTGCTTCTGTGCATCTATTATGATATACAACCTCTTAAAAACAGGTGTAAATTGTCTGTTAGACCTTTCTACTTCATCATCATCTTCTTCAATTATAGGTTTGTCCAATTTAATCACTAAACAACTATAGGTTGTTTGTTAGGCCCATTTATCCATTTTTCATCCAATTCTATTTGTGCTTCTATTTGCGAAATTTGTGGCCCTTTTATGACTTCCCCATTTGGACCTAAGACCTGAAGTGCCTCATGACCTTTCTCCACATATAAGGCAACCACATTCAGACCCATATAATGAATAACATATCAATTACATCTCTATCTGAATTCATCTCCCTAAGACCAATGTCCAGTATTTCCCTAGGAATTTTGAAATATAGTTGGCTAGTAGAGGGATAATCTAGGCTCAAGTACAACTTTTGAAAATAAAAAAACCCAACCTTATCTGGATCAAAGTACTGAAAGTAATTAACTTTCCCTCTCTTATACACTATCTTTGGAGGCTTAGTAAAGTAACCTCTATGATATAACTCAACAGTAAACTCTGTTGCCATCACCTCACCCTAATTAATCATACAAGACACAAAAGACAAACATAATACATAAACAAATCAATGCCTCAACATTAGAAGACACAAAAGAAAAAAAAGGAAAAAGAAAAAAAAAAACATAAACAAATAAAAAACCTAACACTAAACAGACATATTATCTCCCAATACACAACAAACAGTTAGGGGACCACTATCAACCCCACCTCCATGCACAAAAATCATAATCATGCATCAAAATCAACAAAACCCCAAATCTGTAGCCATTTTTGCATAAAAAAATAAAAAAACTCTAATTTATTATTCCAGATATACACAACAAACAGATAGGGGACCACTATCAACCCCACCTCCACGCACAAAAATAATAATCATCCATCAAAATACAAACTCTACCAAAAAAAGCTAACAATCAGACAACAACCTTAACAAAAAGGTAACAACAAGCCAACACACATACATTGTAAAGCAAAAACCCTACCAATAAAGCCTCTTTTTTTATTTTTATTTTTTTTATTTAAATTTTCGAAAACATCAACCATCAAACAACTCATTTTCCAAACATATTCTATAATAAATTTACAAAATCTCAATCAATCCAGCAAATAGTCATACAAAATAGATTTTTTTGTAGGGTTCGTCGATTGTTACCTGGAGTGAAATTTTGAAAAACAGATTCTTTGTAGTCTCAATTGATTGTTATTGATTCGATTTGAAAATCCTTTGAAACCCTAACCCATGTGTATCTCTCTCTCTGAAAATCGTAATCAAACAACTGAAGGGACCGTAGCATGTAATCAATATAAATATCTAGGGGTATTCTAGTCTTTTCCATAATTCCGTCACGTCCCGTCACTTTTGCACTTTAGTCAAAACCACAGGCTATTTATGAGTATATTTACCAACGTTAGAGGGGTAATGTGAAAATGCATGAAACCACAGGGGTAAAATGTAATTATACCTAAAAAAAAGGTACAAAGAAAAAGAAGCATAAAAAAGGCAGTTGCTTTGCTCGACGTGTCTTTTTTCTCTACCGTTTTGTAGTTTCTTTTGGATTTTCCAGCAGTT